GGGAGATGAGATGGAAATAGTGTTTCAGTTGCGGGCAATGACGACACAAAGGCCGCAAGTCGCCTGAGCCACTCCCAACCTATCACCCGAACCACACCATCCCAGCAACATTGCAGCACCACGGAGGCCGTCGGACAGAACCCTAACCAATTCTTGGCGAATTGAATTTTTTTTACACTAAAATAAAATAACAAAATTGCACCGCAACTTTGTACAATAAAATAACAAAATTGCACCGCAACTTAGAAACAAACCGAACTGAAACTGAATTGAATTTTTTTTACAGTAAAATAACCGAACCGAACCGCACCAAAATGCACGGTTCGGTTCAGTTTTCAGTTTTATCTCGGTTTTTCTATACATTTTATTCAATTTTGTGCGGTTTGGCGCAAAACCGAACCGAACCGCACCGAAATGCACGGTTCGGTTCTGTTTTCAGTTTTATCTCGGTTTTTCTATACATTTTATGCAAGTTGGTGCCGTTCAGTGCAAAACCTGTTTCGCACCAAACCGAACAAAACCAAAAACTAAACTTATGAAAAACTATAACTGCACCGCACCTCAATGTAGGAAAAAACCGAACCGAATCGCACCAAATTGCACGGTTCGACTCGTTTTTGCTCACCCCTAGGTCTCTCTATGCTTCACTATCTCCACACATTAACATCAACCTTGTGTTGATTTCTCTATACAGTTTTTTGGGTTGTGCTTAAAGAAAACCCCAAACAATTCCAATCCCTTCCAAGTAAAGCAATTGAGATCACAAGACACCATTTTCAGCACACACATTTAAGAATCTCCCAAATTTATGCACTAAATTCCCGTTTTATGACAGAGATGTTGGCGGGCAAATTTGAATCAAATAACAGAAAAAACGACATTAACGACTTTCAACACCTTAAAATTCCCATATCTTAGTATCACTTTCATTCCAACCAAGAAAGGTGATTTGTCCAAATCCTTCTCTCCTCTCCCTACTTGAAAAGCTATAAATTCTGTTGCTAAGAGTGAACAAAAAATCACAGGAACATATTGGGAATTGTAATCAGAAATTGTAAGTTTACTTAAAATTTTACCTCAGTTCTTCCTTATTTTATAAATCTTTTATTTGTTTCTGTTCCTGTTCAAGATTATTTGTTTGCTAACATAATTGTATTTAGTGTTCTCTTTTCTTTCATTTATTGGGACCAAGATACAGTTTTATGTTTCAGAGACAAGAGTCGAACAGAACCGAACCGAACCAATATTAAATAAGTAAACGAGAAATTTTTATTTTTCCCAGGTCCAAAAAGATCGATCGGTCGTCAATTAACACCACCATTAATCACAAAAAAAAAAAATGTCGGTTGACGAGCTGAAGATACGTGAAGAGCTAGAGGTGGACGTCGAAAGCAATCTAGAAGGAGAAATCAGAGAAGAGATTTACATTCTTGCCTTAAAGCTGCATAGATTATACCAACACCAAAAGCAAAAGACACTACTGAACCAATCATCTCATGATCACGAAAACAATGCTCGAAATAAAATGTTGACCGAAGTCAACATTAGCATAAAGTTAGAAGGCGCGACAACTATTCGGATAAACGAGATCAAGAAAGAGGGTCGTGGGGGAGGACTAGCACGAATTGCCAAGGGGAAGGCAGTGAGTCCCGGGCAGGGTAGAAATCGCAAGGCTAAGTTCGATTGGGCGGGGAGCCTTAGATCAAAAGCATCGAGCGCGATGATTGTTAATCACGGGCCGGATAGAAATCGGGACAGAGTGAGGGGTCTGATGAAGGATAAGAAAGGTGGATATGCAAATCAAGGGAGCACAAATAAAGGAGAATGGAAATATTAGCACGAGATTTGGGTGGGAAAGGAAGTTGTGTCCATGTTTGGATTGGTTGAGTAATACGTATGATTGGGAAATTGGAAATGCATGCAAGTTTGAAAGGATTGAGTGTGATTGTTCAGTTTGCTACCATGAATATTAATAATAAAATTTGTATAGAGCGAGTGTGGCAAATTACAAATTTTAACTTATTTGATATAATGATTCTAAATTGTTTTTTCACACACATATATATACAGACATATATATGTAGAAAATGCTACAGTCCCATTGCAGTACCGTCAAATGTTTTAACCGTTGGATCATATATCTTGTTTCGCATTTCCCTTATTTTTATATTCTACGTTCAATTTCTTTTTTCCCGAACATACAAGACAAGAGGCAACTGTTCGTACAACTCTAAAGGGAAGTTCGAACTGTAGGAATAAATAATTCATTTATGGAGAAAAAAGTCTCTATCTGAATTGTCTTTATTAAAACTCAAACTAGTTATTGACTAACAAAATGTCTGCCTCTTAATTTATGGTGGGAAGATAAGCACTCAGTATCTGTTAATTGAAAACCAAAAATCATACACAGAAGTGGTTCAAAGGTAATGTTTTTCAGACACTTCAATGTATGTGTTGGATGCTCATCTTTACAATAATATGAATGAATAACATGGAGAAACTGAAGAAAATTGCGAAACATATGATTCACGGGTCATGTAAATACCTTAATTCTAGTAAAGCATTCACAAAATCAACTAACTCTTAGAAAAGCGTTCACAAAATCGACATCCCCTTTCGGGATTAATCAACCTACACTGTTAAGATTTCTTGAACTTTAGCAAATGCCTCCACCGGAAGGCCAGAAGCAACAGAATCCATCTCAGAGAAAAGAACCTACATTCACATCACATAACAGTTTTTAACTTTTTATATATTATATGCATTATAGACAATATGCAACTTTTTAAATATGCCAGAGGACAATACCTCTGCCCTGAAGTCTTTGGAAAATATGAAAGCGCCCCTTTCTTACTCATAGAAAATCACTTGGTTTTTCTAGGAAATTTTGAACTTTTTTGTAAACATTTGACTTTGAAAACATTTCTCTGGGTACTTGCTAAAAACTCTTCTTCTTTCTTTCTTTCTTTCTTCCTTCACCTAAGCCTCGCACTTAGGTACTCAGGAATCACTCCCGAAACTTTCTTTCTTTTCCTTTCAATTAAGACAAAAGCAGAGCATATGGTACTTGGTCTATAATTGAAAACATTCAAACTTTAAACATCATTCTGGGTTTCGAAATCATGTAAACATAACCATGTTCAAAATGATAGTGGAAGCATAATTAAATCACTTTCTTTCTTTTGACCACCACTGCCTCTCGTGTCCGTCGCCAGCAGCTTAGCCTGGAAAATGATAATTGTGGGGGTGAGCAAAACAATATCCCACCTGGAGTCTATAATATGCAGATATTTAGAATAATTAACGGATAGCAGGATATTAGCATGTACATAAATAACTCATCATAATGCACGGCTACTCACAGGTGATACCCCTTGCGGGCAGGATCATATATGCAAGGATCATATATGCACGGTCTCTTACTGGCGCTACCCCTTGCGGCTTGCGGGCAGGATCATAAATCTTTGCCTTCGCCCTTGCGGACGGAATAAATTATGAAACATACAACAATAATAATACCACAGTAATCATAAAGGAATATTGCATAGTATAGACTTCCCACCTAACTTGAATGAAATGAATGTACTGCGTCTGAGTGAGAGCTCAACTCCTCTTAATCTACATTTTGATTATTTAAATCTTATTATTAGGATTTTGATTAACAAACAAAGAGCACGGCAAATTAAAGCAATTAATAGTATATAAGGCAGGCAAATTTAACACGTAAGAGCACATAATGTAGATAAAAAAAATAAACAGACAAGAGCACACATAATGCAGTCAAATTAAGCCGATAAAATCACAAAAATCTTTCTAACTCTTTTCTTGACTTTTCTAGACTTGACTCGGTTTCTCGGATCAAAATCTAAGGCTTGGAAAATCTCAATTTTTTTGGCTCGCACCGGCCAAAAATTTGAACTTACAACTCTTGCGCAGTCCCCGTATAAGGAACATAATTTTTTATGTAAAAAGTATTTTAGACTGATATTTGAAAATAGATAAGTCAAGAGACTGAACTGCATTTCTCGTGAAGACTTCGCCTGCTTTCGAGCAAGTTAAAGGGATGAAAATCGATCAAACGTAACAACAAAGCTGCTGCCAAACCTACAAAAAAAACTGCTTGCACGATGTTCGTATTTTGAACGTAGCTTTTTATATAGGAATGGTAATTGTATGATTCTTGCACCTACGGAAAGATAACAAACTAAATTTCAAGTCATAAGACGAGTTCAAAAACAGACGGCTAAAGTTTGAGTGTCGAAACAGCACTCGAACATACGGACAGAACATGGAAATCTCAAGGCAAATACAATACAAAAATGCCTCCTCTTTTCCTTTCTTTTCTTAAACAATTAAAAGCCATAAACCACACTTTGAACCCCTGAAATCTGGCACGTAACACAGAATAAAAACACATGAATTTAGTCTAAAAACTCACGGCATCCAACATAGCACAAAAATATAACAAAATGCCTTCACTTTTTTTTTTCCCTTTCTTTTACTCAAACATCAACCAACTTTTTAGTAAGGCGACACCACAACACTGAAGGCTCTGAACATGACACACTTGAGCATGAAAATATGAAAAGGGGGTCAGTAAGTCGCATGCTCAACATAAGGCCAAACGCAGGACACAACAAGCACCTCACTAGATTTCTTCTCTTTTGTCATGCATAATTTGTATCAATTTTCAGAAACACTTCAGGCCCTTAGAACAGAGTTCAGCCTCTTAAACTATATACACATAACAGCATGTAAAGGCAAGAAAACTCAGCTCTGAAATCAGCTCAAACATAGCCAAATCAAGGCCTCAAAATCAATCTCTACATGGCTCATCTTTCTCTTTCTTAACTCAAAATTCAACCAACACATACGAAGGCAATAAGAACTGATAAGGCTCTAAAAAGTAAACATTTTCAGCATATAAATCACAACAAATAAGGCTCAAATCATCAGGTAATAGCATGCGCACAAAATAGCACAAAAACAAGCATACAACCTTCTTTTCCTTTCTTCTTTTCTCAACATCAAAACTAAAACTAAGGCCAACATAAAACTGAGATAAGGGCTTTAAATAGGCTTCATTTTCAGCATGCTTGACATCAAAAGAACTCAGTAACAACACATCAGAAATGAGATCAAAGATCACCACATATCATGCCTTTTTTATCCTTCATTCTTTTCTCAACATAAACCACATGATAATGTCAATTTAAATGAGATATAAAGGCGTCTAAGACCACTCATTTCAGCATGTTTTATCCACATAAGGGTCAGCATACTCACCACATAACAACTCGGCCAAAAATCATATAAAACAACCTTCAATTCTTTTCATTTTTACTAAATCAAAGCATGCCCATTTTTAACACTTAAAACTGATTATTAAACATTAATTCGGCCACATTAAGAGAGTAGAAATGCTCAGCCAAATACCTTGCAAAAAGGGACTAAAAAGAAGGGAAAAGATGCGGCTCGGTTAGGCTTTTCTTTCTCGGCTTTTGGTTCTAACAATGGCTCGACCTTCGACTACACTTTGCTTGTGAACGTGAATGCTTGAAGGGATGCTCAGAAAATGGCTCAACCTCACAGCTCTCGGCTTCTCTGTTCAGGTTGCTCGTGGAATCGATTACGCGTGCGGTGAAGGCTGCGTGCGGGTGGCTCTCGGCAGCGCTGGCCTGATGCTGGCCGTGATGTGTTTTCTCGGAAATTTTGTGGGCTGATGGGATTTCTTTTTTTAGTCTTTCTGTAAGATTTTTGAAAATTGTAAAATGGGGCTGAGGATGGTAAAGGGAGGTTATAAATGTGGGGAAAAAATTAAATCTTTTGAATTTCAAAATGATGAAGGGATGGGGGAGTGTAGGCCGAGTCAGCGAGTCTTAGGGAATTGGTTGGATTAGTCATTGATGGCTTTTGACTTGGACTTGAGGCTCTCTTTCATTAGTTGGTGGCGGCCGAAGCTTGAGCTTGGAGGCTGGCGGAATTATCCGAGATAAATGTCACATGGGGGAGTACTTGGAGACTTGGTCTTTGCCTTTGATTTCTAAAAATTTCGTAAGATTTTGTTAAGTTCTGGGGGCGTGTATTGCATGGAAAATCAAGGTGTGGATGGCCATGACTCACTTGCTTTGTGAGGATCAAAGACTTAGGCCAACATGGACTTTAGGGCAAAATCGAAACTTAGGACCTTAGGTAAAATTAATGAACTTAGGCTTAGAAAAATAAAACTTAGGCTCAAAATAGAAAATGGCCGAACTTGGCTTAAGCTTTCGAAAATCTTTGGCATGCTTTAACTTAGTAAATTTAAAAAAAAAAAATAAAAAAAAATAAACGAGCAAATAAACAATTAAACAAACTAAAGAAAATAAATAAGCAATTAGACAAATAATAAAACAATTTAAGCAAATAAGTAAATTAGGTAGACGAGGACATCTATTTAATTTGATTGTTGGATTAAACTTTTTAAACACAAAGTCGAGCTAAGAAATGAAACGCAAATGCTCTTCTCTTATTCTTAAAACGGGACGTTACAAAATCGATCCTTCGCATCCCACATTATGTCAATTTCATCTCGATTGAGCATTAAAATATTTTACCTGATAAAAGTGGTGTTAAGCATGGCTCGGAACATAATGACTTCTCGATCTTTATCATCAAGCATGCAGATACACTCTAGTACAACATAGCCTCGAATGTGGCAATCGATATCAATCTTTACTAATTCACATTCTGCCTGAATAACCAAAAAAAATGTGGGGTAAAAAGACAGTTTAGTACCGGCATCATCAGTATTACGTATGTGCACACAGTCTCTTCACTAAAGAAGTAAGAGCCATA